TCAATATTTAAACATAACTAGGCATATAAAATCGCAAGAATCAAGGTTAACAACACAAGATATAGGAGAGTACAAAACTAAATTTTTCGTATGACCTTAAGCATCTATTTAATTCTCATCTTTTGATCACCAATAAGACTTGTACAACTCCAAAGAATCAAAGGTGGATTAATCGAATCTACCTTTCTCCTAGAATCTACAATCAAGGTTGAAACACGGGTTTTTTTAGATCAAAGCCTCGGGTGCTCCTCGGCACGGTATCGCACGGTGACACTCGACAGCATGTGCTCGGTGGTGTGCATACAGAACACGGGCAGAGGCGCGATTCTCGCAGCTACTCGCGGATGGTTCGCCTCATTGCTGGTCAGCATGTGCTTACGGTGTTTGGACTTTGGTGATAATTGCAGCAGCTGCTCGTGGCGGTCTCCCGAGCGGCTTTCGTGCGGCTCAGCAGAGAGCGCAACATTGTTTCGGGGATGGCTTAGCGCGTCTTGTGGCCAGAGAGAAAATTCAAAGAGGAAAGAGATGCGTTTTTCTTGTTGAAAAAAAATGGTGAAGGCTGAGAGATATGTAGTATTTGCTTAACAATTTTCTAAGTGAAAATGGAATTTCTTGCCTTGTCTTTTCGGTTTTTAACAAGAGGAGAGAAAGAGATAAATTGTTTGGTTTAATGCCATAAATCAAGGCCTTAAAGAAGGGAGTTACAAAATTCTGAATCTCATGATCTCACATTGAATTTGGTCGGACTTTGAAATTGCTAGGATGTTGGAACCTCTTTGAGCCTTGATATGGAAAATTACAAAAAATATTTGTTCCCACTTGAAATGAAACAACAATTTGCATGGGCTTGAAGCCTTTGAGGCCGGTTACACGAGGGAATAAGGCAAGAAAAATTGCATGGGAGTCAACAATTACGTTTCAACAAGGGAGGTTACAAGAATTATTTAAACTTGGACATAAAGAACTACTCGGTATTTAGAGAAAACTTAGCCGAATTTTGGCTTGATTTTCCTATGGTACATGGCCAAAATAATTTTACACAAGTACTAAGGTCTTAGGCATTTTAAACAAAAATCAAACCAATAACGCTAAGCAAAAGATCAAATAAAAAATAAAATGCAAACACGAGGAATAAAAATCAATCTGACTCTTTATTATTCGAACGGAGCACTACAATAATCAAATAGTTAAATAAATTGTTCCACTTTTCTAGTTTGTTAGATTATGTATATATTTCATGTGTGCATGATTTTAGTAAAATTTTAGGTATGTTATCTTAGTAAATGTTGAGTGTGTATCTTTAGAATTATTTATTATATACAAGTTCCCCGTCAACTAAGTTATCATTTTTTTACCAAGATTTATAGTTTTGTTAAATTGTAGATAGTTTAATAAATAATTGAAAAATTTAGATTCTTTATAAGTATTTATTATTACTAGAAGGGATGGATGAAGATGCGACACTGAGGAAGAGAGGAGGAATTTTCAAATCTTCAACGCCAGACATAAACAACTACAATTTGGAAGGAATCAAAAAAGTGATTTGAGAGAAAAAGAATCAAACTCTTACCTAAGTTCTCAAAGATGAAGAGATCAAAGTGTCTCTTATGGAAATGCATCCTCATAAAGCTTAAGGTATATATGGTTTTACCCTTTTTTTTCAGTATAATTGGAGTATTGTTCAACGTGAAGTTGATGCTGCTATTAGGAATTTTTTTAATAAGAATAAAATGTTTAGCAAGATAAACCATACCATCATAACCCTGATTCCAAAGATCCAAAATCCTCAAAAGGTCGCATATTACTGGCCAATTAGTTGGTGAAATGTAATTTATAGATTGATTTCAAAGATTTTGACCAATAGGATTAAAATTGTTCTTCTGATTGTATCTCTCAGAACCAGACATCCTTTATGCCTGGTAGACAAATAACTGATAATGTAGTTTTGCCAAATAAGTGTGTTCACTATTTGAAAAGTAAAAGAAAGGGAAGGGAAGGATTAATGGCAGTAATGTTAGATACGACAAAAGTTTATGACCGTGTGGAGTGGGCTTTTCTTGTCTTAGTTCTTAGGAAATTGGGCTTTTGCAGTACTTTTATTGGTTGGATTCTTGGTTGCATCAATTTATCATATTTCTCTTTTAAGCTCAATGGTCAGTCCCTTGGTTTTCTCATGTCTACTAGAGGTTTATGGCAGTGAGATCTCTCTCCTTAGTTCTTTATTATTGTCTCTAAGGCCTTATCAAATTTGATAAACAAGGCTTCTGTTCAAAAGCATTTTCAGGATTTTAAAATTGCCAAAAATGCACCTGTTAACCCACCTGTTTTTTGTTGATGACTCAATTGTGTTTTATAAAGCCACTGCCCATAATGTTTCTACTCTTATGAATATGTTAGATAACTATGAGAAGGCTTCAGGTCAGAAGGTCAATATAGAAAAATCTTCAATCATTTTCTCAAGAAACACTTTGGATAAGTCAAATAACCGAATTTTTTAAATCTTTCAGGGAATTCAGGTTGTGAAATCCTCAAAGTACCTTGGTTTACCTTTGGGCATCAGAAGGTAAAAAATTGAGACTTTTCATTATATCTTTGAGTATGTGTTAGCTAAAATTTCAAATTGGATAAACAGTTTTTGGAGTGAAGCTGGAAGAATTACTTTTGTGAAATCTATGCTGATTATTTTACCTTTGTATGTGATGTCCTGTATGAAAATTTCAACGAGTGTTTCTAAGGATATTTTTAAGGGTATTGATGATGCCTTAATAGTGAAGCAACTGTGGAGAATAATCACTAACCCAAATCTTTTGATGAGTAAGGTGCTTAGAGGGAGATACTTCCATAATAGGAATCTGTGGGAGATAAATCCTACACTATAATTCTTGGTTATGGAAGTCCTGGTTGAGTGTTAGTCAGTTCTTGAGAGAGAGAGAATTCGATACCAGGTGGGGGATGGGTTGTCTATATCAATTTGGGAATATCCTTAGTGCCAAAAGTCTCTAATCATGTTCCCTATTGTGTAGGTTTGAAGAGGATAGGGGTAGGTTGAGCACAGTGAGAGAACTAATGGGTTCTGATGGAGTTAGACTGGGATAAAAAGTTGATTGAGCAAACTTTCTGCCCTAGTGATGGTAAGGCCATCTTAGGAATCAAGATACCTAGATGAGAGAGATCTAAAAGGTGTATGGATAGAATAGTTTTGAGCCATAGCAAAAAAGGGAAGTTTATCTGTGAAGTCCTCAGACTCTGTCATGCAAAAAAAATCTTGAATTGTCCCAGGTGCAGACAAAGATTTGAAAGAAAACTTGCCAGTTGAAGTTGAAAAAAAAAAAAACTAAAAGTGTTCCTTTCGAGGAGGTATCATGGGTTGTAGAATCGCAAGACAAGCTAAGCAAAAAAAATAAAAAATAAAAAAGGAATGAAGATAGAAGCTATATGTAGAATGTGTGCATAAGAAGAGGAAACACAGAAGCACATATTTCAAATGTCAAAGGGCACAGACTGTGTGGAAGCTCTTAGGTGTGGCTTGGGATGCCTTGAAAGAAAAGCTGGGAGTCTTGTGGTTGTGGAAGACTCAGAATAGTTGGGACTTCAGGCAAGTGTGGGTGTCTGAGAGAGAGAGAGAGAGAGATTGCAAATGGTGCAAGATTAGAATGGTTGGAGTTTGAAGAGGTTGCTGAAGACTGAAGTTTTGTTTGTTTTGGTGGTTTGGGGGTGAACTGTATTGTGGTTGTAAAACGGATATAGAACATCCATTGTGTTGTTAGTGCAATGTCATTTACTTCCTCTGTTGTTTTCTTTGTTTGTTAAACTAGTTTCTGTGTTGTTTAATAAACTTTATTTTGGGTGTTGGGGAGGTGAAGGCGGCATATGTTGTAAAGGTTTGAGTGGCTTTCTAGGTATTGTTGATAATAAATATACTGGGTATGTTATTGTTGTTGTTGTTGTTGATGATGATGAAATAAAACAGTTTGGCAGACATATGAAAGAAAGTAAATTCGTGAATAGTGATATGAGAATATTGTGTTTGATTTTTATGAGATGTTAAATGTTTTGCTCGTTTATTTGTATTTAATTAATTTAATATTCATTATTAGTTAAAAATATAAGATAGGATTGAGTGTTGGTCTATATCTAATTTGACATTAAAAATATGTCACAGTAAAGATTTTTTAGTAGTTTTTTTAATTAAAATATAAGATATGATGGATATTAGTGTATTTCTAAATTGTTATTAAAAATATGTCAATATAATTTATTTTTTTTCTTTTTGGCATTTCATATTTTTACAAAATCATTTGTCCCTTTATAATAGTACTAATGATGTCCCTTTATAATAGTACTAATGATTTGCCAGTCTTATTTTTTAATAAATATGTAAGACATGATGATATTAGTACATTATTAATTTGTCATTAGAAATATATCAAAGTAAGGGTTTTCTTGTAGTCCATTTTTTTGCAAAATCACTCGTGCTTTTATAATAATATAGATAGATATAGATTATGCTTTTATAATAGTATAGATAGATATAGATTAGGGATAATAGGACACAATTTAATACAAGTCATATTAGGGGCTTGATGTGCAGAAATGAAAATACTGCAGCCCTTCTTTGGCACATGCTCAGGTTAATGATCATGTATGAGGTCATAAATCGTATTAGCTTACAAAGAAGACGACAAAGTTAGAAAAAGCCTGGAGAAATGAGCTCACATCGTTGTTTTGAAATTTTGAAATCATTCACTCCAAATCCATTCCTCCAACTGAAAGCCTCTTTATTGGTTAATAGATCTAAGCTCCATTTTTCAACTCCACTAAACAAAAACCCTTTTGCACACAAAGAATTATATACATATCCAAATTTAATGTTAATGATCCCAATAATTCCCCTGGATTTCAGAATATCACAATTTCAAGTGAAAAGCAGAGGAACTCCTCCTACCTGGCCGCTTCTGCAGCCCTCTCTATACAATTATTCTCTTATCTGATTGAACCCGTCATCGGCCAAGCGAGTTCATTGGTAATTCTTTTCGCATCCTCTCCTTTTCTAGCCGAGCACGTCTAACAGCCTCCTGGATCTGCCGCTCGTGATCTTTCAACATCTGCTCCACTTTCACTGATGGAACCAGCAATGGTCCAGAGTAATGGATTTTCTTGCCCTTTGACCCATCACCCACCTGAACATGAACAAGACAACAAACAATAGCTACATTACATTTATGCTCCATTTCCATCATGTCCGGCCTTCATCAATAAATTGCAAGTTCTAAATGATTAGGGTAAAATTAGCCGTGCCACTTTTAGTTGCACCTTTTCCAGCTAGGTTAATCTAAAGGGTTAGTTTTATAATTACGCCATGATAATAATCAATAAGGCTGCTTTTGAAAACTTACATGAACAGAGTTGTTGCTTGCTTTATCTTCTTCATGCTGCCCACTAATCTCCTGGTTTTGCCTCGTCGTCGAATTCAAAGCCTCCTTGAGAGACCCTGGAAACCTTGAAATAAGCTTTGGTACTTCCTGCCGGGAATAAGATTTCTCACTACTCTCTTCCAACAGCATGCTCCGCCTGGCAGCTACTAAACCAGACATGGTTGGCAACTCGGCCACGGCAAAATTCTTTGGAGCACTTTCCATTTTCTTTCCGGCCTTTGTCCAGGCAGCTCGATTAACCAATGGCCCAGAATGCGAGGACCGCTTGTGGATAGTACCATGAGAGTCGTCGTTTGGTTCGTCAATGGATCGAGATGGCCGCGGGGGATCAATTGGAAAACCTGAAGCCACTTCTTCAGGATGAGAGGTGAACATCTCACTCCTGCTCTTTGAGTTCGACTGCCCGTGTCTTTTCTATATTCGAAGGAAAAAAGATACATGAGCAATTACAAATTAGTTATTAATGATGTGTTGATATGTACGGTTAAGTCGTCTCTTTGTTCCAATTCTAATCAGTGGTGATATTTGTACTTAGTGTTACACTTTTGGTCACTATTCCAGTCCATCAAATAATATTTCCTAAGCCAGAACACAAAATTTAAATACTTGCGAGTTTACTTTATGCTGCAATCGAGAAGGAACATCCTCTGTCGATACTTTATGGTCTCTGGGGCTTTATCATCTCACTTGCTTAATGAACAACCGAGGCAGATCTTTACCTTGCCTTTGTCGAAGTGATGATAACGATCACTAAATAATTCGGTGGATCAAAAGAGCTTAAGACTAAGAATGTCAGGATGTAATTTTATTTGTTATTTGGGACCACTGAGTTTGGGTTTTGCCTAATTGCAAATACTTGACCATCTTTCGAAATACAAACACGTACACATCATTAACCTTTGTTTCCATCACACGAATTTCTAATTCAAACAAATACAAACTTTTGGAGGACTAATTTTTGTATATACCCTAGTATTATTATCATTATTCATTGCAGAGGAAAGAGAGTCAGGTTTCCCATGCTTGAGGTGAACGCATGATTTTGGCCCATGTAAATTACACTCCCATTCATCAGAATAAGACAAATATGTAACGCATTATATATTAGCTACCTGCATTGATGAGATCAATTCAGCATTGGCATCAGGTGCCGGAACTGCTCGAGATCCCCTGGATCCTATCTTTTCAAGCTCGTATCTTTGACCTTTGCTTCCAGCAGCCACCTGTCTGCAAATTTCACCCAGTCAAGTGGGACATTAGTGACAATAACTAAAAAAAGCTCAAATATAAATGTTGTCAGCACCCCAAGCTACAAAATTCGAGAGTACACATTTATAGTTAAGTATTCACCTCCTCTTAGCTTCTTCTCGTACTTTTGTGTCGAACTCTTTACTGGGAGGATATCTTGGTAAACTTGACGGATCACAAGGATGTGGCCTTGCAATAAAAAACTGAGAAGAGCAGAAACAATGTAATATTTATCTCATTTCTTTTACATTCTCGCGAAAAGGTTACAACAGAGCATATCTAAATATATGATGCACGAAAAAATCCTGTTAATAGTCAAGGGATCAAAATATGTTGAATGAGCATGAAGATCGAATAATAACTAGAAAGCGGTGGGGGTTGGGGTTCTACCATTTTTTCTTTTCTGTTCAATTTATTTTTTCTTTTTTCTTTCAGGAAAATTTCATGCCTAAAAATTAGGTGCACATAAGCATTCTTCATATATACAATGGATTCTGCTGACAATCATAAGCTTAGAGAGCATAATTTAAATCACGAATTCACAAGCACGAGAAAGTGTCACCTTAGATGACAAATATGAGATGTTATCTTGAAAGCACGTATACCTCACTCTTCAAAGCAGAGGCTGCTGACCCACGATCTGCGGGTTCTACGGATAGCAAGATGTCTATAAGTGCTAATACCGGTGCGGGGAAATCTTTAAATGCCTCAGCAACACACCGTGGATAAGGCTGTTGGGGCTTGAAAATTGTTGCATGAGGTAACTTTGACTTTTTCCAGTACTCTTCAGATGGTGATCCACAAAGTTTGAAAATTTTATGCAACTGTTCAACCTATGGGATTTTTTTTATAAAAGTTCATCATCATACGTAAAAAATAAAAATAAAAGGGGAAGAACATGAATAAGATACATATGTCAAAATTCTAGTGGCACAGAATAGGAACTTAAAATTCTTGAAACCAGCAAGAAATGAATAAATAGGTGCTGTGAAAAAAGCTAGGCATTCCTAGACGGAAGACTGAGGGCCTAGAGCCTAGGCAAAATGTTATCGAAAATTAAATGGGGTTTATATGGTCATAGGGGAGCTCGTGTTTAGGCTGGCTATAATCGCAGCTGGGCAGGGACTACTACAACAGGCTATAAATATGAGTTAGCAACCTTTTAATCTAATGATAATACAATGCCTAATGATAATACAATGCCTTTCCCCATGTAGATCATGATGTATGTCTTTTGTGGTGACATATTGAGATATAATTAGGAAGATGACAACAATCAAAATTCCCATACAGACAACCATCTTAATAGATTTTTTTTTTTATAGAGGAACAGTTCTCTCGTCCCAGCATTTGAGGCTCCATTTCCACTAAGGTGATTCATCCTTCTGCCTTTCAAGTTTCATAGAAATAACACTTCTTACTTTCTCGTTCTAAAATCAATGACATGGCCAAAATTTTGGGGGTATGTTAACTGGTAGTGTAAATTAAAACAACAAATCCTGAACTCTAAAAATTCTGAAGTTTATGCTAAAACACCTTTTGTTGCACCTGACCCAGTTACCCCACTTGAATATTGTTTTTTTTTTTTCACTTTTCTTCCGACCACCTCACATTCTCTCACACTGACATGTTATAAACAGCAGACAAATGTCAGTTTTTTTCCTCGTCCAGGATCAAAGCAAACGACATGCACATTAGGCAGTAAAGTGACAAAAGAAAAGAAAAGAATGAGTCCAATGGCGAAATGCAAAAAAACTCCAACTACAAGGAGATTCATATGGTGTGCCCCAAATATAATTTTCAAAAGAGGTCTTCAAGATGCAATTGACTGAAAAAAATGCACCAAATATAATACCTCTGTTCTTCCAGGCATAATTGGCTTGCCAGCGTATAATTCAGCAAGTATGCAACCAGCACTCCATAAATCCACAGCAGTACTGTAATGTGTAGCACCGAGTAGAAGCTCAGGTGGGCGGTACCAAAGAGTCACAACACGGCTGGTTAGTGGTTGAGTCTGATGAGGATCATACAAACTAGCCAGACCAAAATCTGCAATCTTTAGGGTGCCATTATTGTCAATTAGAAGGTTGGAGCCTTTTATGTCACGATGAAGGACACCACAGCTATGACAATGATCAAGACCTTGTAAAAGTTGTTTCATGTAACACTTAACCTGAAAGAGTTAAAGACAAGAAAAGGAAAGGCTTTTATAACATCCTCAAGTTAAAGCTCAAAGATAAAAGAGCAATTCAAAGTGGCATAATTACAGAGGATATAGAAGTATAAATGGTCTTACCAGGCAATTGCTTGTCCAAGTTATACAGAAAGATACAATATACGCCAGATTCTCATTTTTTATCCATTTCTAATTTCATTGGAAAACATAGTTCTAAACCAGACGAGCAGGACAGTTCTAATGGTTGGACCAGAAACTGGTAGCCTTAACAATACAGTTCTCATCATACAAACAACGGTCAATAAATGGTGAATAAGCAGTCAGAGCAGTCACACGGTCAAAGAACCAGCAACTGGAGAACATTTCATATTTTTTATATGTTTCATATTCCTTTATATTTTAAAGTAATTTAATATATATTTACATAAATAAAACTAAATACTAAAAATATTTTATTTTTTCGCAAATATATATATATATATATATATATTTTAATATGTATCAATTACTACAGTCATTTATATTATTGTAATTATCAACAAATTTGAGTTGCTAAAGTTTACGACTTACACTATTACTTGTAGTTAGAAATAATTTATAAGATATAAAATATTAGTAAATTGCCTCTGGTTCAACCAATGTTCAAACAATGTTGAATCTGTGAACCATTGAACCTATAACTTCACCAGTTTGTGGCCGACCTAGTTTTCAGAACCATCTTAATGAAAATATCAATATACTTCACTTTTTCAGTCAACCATCATGTCCATTCACTCTTATAAAATAAATAAATCAATAGATGTGCATTAGTATATTTTCATCTTATATGAAATGAAATTCATAATTCAGTCATATTGTTCCAAACAGTCATAATATTCTATCCAAATTCAAAAGGAGCATGAAAGGCCAAGATCCTGCTCTTGAAGTAAAAGGGAGAAAAAATGAGTAGCGTGTGTATTTGGTACATAAAACAATACAATTGAACAGCAAAAATACACAAGTTCTAATCAAAGAGTTCATTTGGCTACCTGAGGTTCAGTAAACTTGAGCCCAGGGTGGGATGCAAGTCCAGCCAAGTCATGCTCCATGTACTCGAAAACTAGATATAAGCTGCATGACATCCGTGATGTCACCAGACCTTCCAATTTGATCACATTTGGATGGTTGAGCCTTCGCAAAATATGAATTTCCCTCGCCATAAAACGAACGCTTTCAGGCTCCAGATTATCAAACCTTACTTTCTTCAAAGCAACAATCTTCCCTTCATCGAGATCACGGGCACGATAAACATTACTGTAAGTACCCTGGCCAATCTAAGAAATAGAAAAGGGAGAAACGGTCAGCACAGGGAATATAGTTAATACAAGCTTGTTACTTTATATGAAATACCCAGTAGAAATAGTTCATTGACTCTTATGTGTGAGTATATATATATGTATGTATGTCAACCGAAACAACCTATATTTTCTGACATCTATTCAATGTCAACCGATGCAGGGTGGGTTGCAGTGTTCCAATCTCTTGCTTTATGCATAAATCTATAATAAAGTAACAATTACGACTCTGATTCGGTCCAAAACCAACAAAGGAGCCTGAAGCTACATAGAACAATATTTGGGTCACATGCTTGAGTTCGGATGTTGTTCTAGCAGAATGACACTCAGCCCTGGGTTTTAGCATAAAAGTGAAATCATGGATGAAAATGGAATTCATTTAGCTTTATTATTAATTTCAACATCTCATTACTCCAACACTCATCTTGTGCTGCAGTCTACCTAGTGGCACGTAACACCAGATACCTTCCCTAAGCAAGTGGCTCACTACATAATGATAATATTGCTCTAGACTCTAGAGCATCAAATATACATTAAGTATTGGCTTCGGGCCCATATGACGTTTTCCATGATAAGGTTACTTTTGAAAATTGTACGCACTCACAAGATTATAATTATTTAGAACTATTGTCCTCAAACAATTCTTGCAAAATCCTCAAAGGAATTTCATTATCGTCCATTCTTGACAATGATGAGGCATATTTCTCCTGGGAAATAGAGGTGAAAGAGAATGCAACATTCAGTGATTCTTTCCCTGAATATGATCTCATGGATAGAAAATGAAAGCATTGGCAAATACCAAGAATCCTTAAGGCTTAAGCACATGAATAAGAAAGGATGACTTTCATTCTTAGAAAGCTCTTTCTATTCAAAACCCAGAAAGGAGTTGAAAATAACTACAAGACGCTAATGTTAAACGTAGAGAAAAATATTCAAAGAAGCCCTGATACATAGGTTGATCTATCGTTAAGCGTATAGAATGATATCAAGGAAGCCCTGATACATAGGTTGATCTAACCATTTTAATTTCAAACACCACATTTTTACTCAACAGGGAAATCCTCTAAAATTCTTCGAATATTGAACCTTGGATTTATAAGAGTTCGGAACATGCAATAAATTGATTCTGCAAGCATGCTCCGGTAAGAAAAATCTTTAAAAAGCACATTTGATCGTTTCTTGACATAACAAAATCAACTTGTTGCCTGAAGAAGGTAATAAGGTAGAGAAAATAGAGGTAGGCTTGCAGCAGGTCAAACATAGATATCGACGCTCAGACCACTTGAGAAAAGCCCATGGCGGAGCGTGCTACGGGTACAAGAGGTTCTCTTGATTGAAAAAGCTAAAAACCCCATCCCAACAGAGAAAAGAAAGCAATAAATAAAGAAAGGAAAAAGGGAAAAGGAAAAGGAAAGAAGGACAAAATAAGAAGAAAAAAAAAATCACACATACTCATAACACCAACCAAGAAAGAGAAAACAGATTAAAAAAACCAGTTCTTGCAAATTGAAGTACACCTAAAGTACTAACACTATTCTAAAAGCAGAATAATTGTAATCCTCTAACATTGAAATGTTAAATATCCCAAAGTCAGAAGCAGGGGTTTGGTCGTAAAAGAGAATGGCATGCCAAGCTGACACCAAGTCAAATGGAAAGCCAAATTAAATCAAAAGTTTTGAGGCAAGATAATAAACTTAGGACATTAGTAATTTTGATCATAGAAATCATTTTGAAAGATTTATGTTTCTGATAGATATTTTAAAAGGACTTTAGAGAATAATATAGAGAAGTCCATTATGGAGAAGTGGAAAATGTTGACTTTTTAATTACTCCTCTACCACTGTACATAATGTCATTAAAATATGTGTCTAACAGATATGTTTTTACATAACATAGAAGAATTTTCTAGAAAAGCCCACACTAAACAGTAGATCATATGAATTTCAAGACTGTACAAGACAAAAAGGGTTATGAACAAAGAGCTGGCAGGTTTTCATTATGTTTATTCAATAACATATTTCAGCTAACGTCTATAACAATGTGAGGAAGATAGAACTTCGTACCTATTCTTTTTATTCGGGGTCCGCTACTAGGGAGGTAACAGATAACAGTAAGAATCCCTTGCAAAATAGAACGTGCAACTCTCATTGTTACTACTTGATCACCTATCGAACTTGTGATGGTGTGAAATATAGTTTATCAATGCAACTTGTGCTTGAGGAAATATAGACCAGTTTGTGCATTTTCAGTTGTCTTGTAAATGAACTGAATCATCTAATAACATAGTAATGACTCAGGAGACTAATTTTTGTGCCAAGGTTCTATGACCTGCAGATCACCATATCAGATATTAACAGATTGACTTTACCTTTCAGCTGCAATTTACACTTACATCAATCTATTGACCTAATCCACCTTTTCTCGTGAATGAAAAAAATTCAACATCTCAGACAGATAAACACAACAGTAGTAACCGATGAGGCGTACGTGATTTCTTTCTCATTTAATCATCTCATTCATCTAAGAAAGCACAAGACACACCTCAGTAAACGCGTATTACGATCAAAAGAATGAAAGAAGTATATACCTTATCCAACTTCTCAAAAGAGTCTGCCCTCCTCGGCAGCCATCCTCTAATAGCTTCGCCAGCCACTGCAGCTAACCAAGGCGGCCATCCAGCGGCGACCTGTTCTCCTTTGTTTGCCTTGGGGACCGCACCTACCCTTGGGTGTTGCAGGACAGAAATATATTCGGTTTTCTCTCTCTTCCTCTCGAAATTCTCTCCATGTAATCTGACTGAGCCATTGACCTGCTTATCAATCAGAATCACCCTTCCCCCACTATCTAACCGATTTTTCACCTGATAACTCTCCTCCCTCCTGGCGGATGAAGAGCGTAGGGTCTGCGAATTGGCTATGTCTTTACTCGGCAGCCTCTCCCCTGGGCTCTCCTTACTATCATCAATAGCGTGGGGCTTACCACAAACACAACCCATTGTACTCCAGAGGGCAACTCAATAACCCGTCTTAACAGAATCAGACTTAACTTCCTTTTCTGCAACTTGTCAGGAACTATAATTCTTCTTCTTCTTCTTCTTCCAAGCCATCACTAGAATTAAGAATTCACCCATGG